CATGGCCTATGACCGCTATGCAGCAGTGTGCAAGCCCCTGCACTACACGACAACCATGAGGAGCAGTGTGTGTTTGGGTCTCATCATAGGCTGCTATGTCGGTGGTTTACTGAATGCCTGCATCCACACTGGGGAAACCTTCAGCCTTTCTTTTTGTAAGTTCAACGTGGTCCACCATTTTTTCTGTGATATTCCAGCAGTCATGGAGCTCTCTTGCTCTGATAAACATTTTAATGAACAGGTTCTTTTTTATGCCGTTAGTGTCCCCATTTTCTTTGCCCTCCTAGTGATCTGGATATCTTACTTCTTCATTTTTGGCACAATCCTGAGGATGCACTTAGCTGCAGGACATCACAAGGCTCTGTCCACCTGTGCCTCCCACCTCACTGCTGTCTCCGTCTTCTATGGCACAGCCATGTTCATGTACTTGCAGCCCAGTTCCAGTCATTCCATGGACACTGATAAAATCGCCTCTGTGTTCTACACCATGGTGATCCCCATGCTGAACCCTATAGTCTACAGCCTGAGGAACAAGGAGGTCAAGAGTGCATTCTTAAAGGTCAAGAGTGCAGTCACTTGGAGACAAAAGAATGTGTAGGATTTTAATTTTTACTTTGTAAGATGCACAATTTTTGGTTCCATTGCTTTCAGATACTCCAAGAACTATTATATTTTAATGCCCATGTTGAAATTAAAATCTTGAACTCATACTCTCAGCTGTGCAAAACTCTTTTCAGATTAAAAAACAAAACAAAACACTTGTCCAGACGTAAATACTTGAGTGAGAAAGGCTGAGATATCTTGGATTTGCTTGCCAAAAATCTTTCCTGATAATGATGTTTGCACTCATTATTCAAGTTTTTTTTTCCTTTACTACCACATGTCAGTACAAATAAGTGTAAGCCAGGCTCAAAGAACCTATACATAGTAGGAAGGGACCAGTTGTCTCATGATGACAAGTATAAATGTATGTGGTCCCTCCTCCAAACCTACATTTATTGCTCTTTATAGTAGTCACTTTTACTGTATTAATTTGGCTGGATTAAGGGATATCCAGGTAACCCTAAAACAGTTTTCTGTGTGTGCTTTAAAATGTGTTTCCAGAAAAATGTAATGTTTGAAGCAGCGGACTTAGGAAAATCTGTACTCATTGTGGAGGATACACTGAAAAGTGGAGAGAGAGGAAATTCTCTCCCTGTCTCTCATAGAACTACGATACCCATCTTGTGTCACTCTTTGCAGTCAGAATTCATGGTCTGGTCCTGTCCTTGTCCCTCTGTCTCCAGCACTTACACCAGTCACACATCTCATTCCCATTTCAGCCCCTTGACATAGGCTGCATCGTGTGCCTGGCATCCTTACTCTTTTTTATGAGTACATATTTCAGTGCACAACCACTCCATCCCTCGCAGTGAGTTACTGTGTACATAACGCATCTCAATGATGCCACTGCTCCTTGAATTGCCACCATACATAACACATCTTACTTCTTTTTCATCCTCTTTCCCTTGTCTCCCTC